TTAAAATTTTTTTTTATCCCAATAACTTTGGTTGTAAAGGACAATAAATGAAATAGCAATAGACAGATTAAAATATATTTCAGCTTTAAGCGAATTTTAAGGCTACACAGAATTGATACTAAAATGACATAGGTAAGAATTATTACATTCAGTTCATTTAAATTTCTCTTTGACAACAACGGTGAGTGGTTGCTAAGACAAATATCTGAAATCGGTCATAGTGAGAAGTTCACAGTGCTATTCTTAGTCGCATTCCGAAAAACGTTGTGATCGCTAATTTTTTTAAAACTTTTTAGTGAATTTATTTAAAGCTTTGTAATTTAAAAATACATTTTATCTAATAAAAATATAGATCTGAAATTTTACGATCATGCTGGGCATGTTGTATGTACATATTTATATATGCATAAAATACGAACGTGCACACACTATAGTGACATTAAGAAGTAATGATTATATTTTCAACTCATATTATGTTTAAACCTTTGTACATGGAGAGCTTGCTAAGGAAAACTGGACACACGTTACACATGAGGAAAACGCCCATGCAGCCAACCCGTTCCCCTAGAATCGAACCCAAGTGGAACCTGACAGTATTCAATGACTTAACCACTCAGCTGCTTAGGTTTGACCGTAACCACTATTTTTGCTTTCAAAATATGTTTGTATTTTCGTTGGATATCCACGTAAAAAAGAATACGAATTTTGCTCATTATTAAGAATACTGAAGACCTTTTGTTTGAAATCTAAGTTTCATTCATTCACATTTGACTTCTAACTATGTGTTCTTTCCTGTAAATTAAAAGCATTTAGTTCACGGCTGAATGTTTAATATATATATATTTAAAACGAATACACATTTGCATACAATTATTTTTAAAGAAACGTTGTTCCTAGTATTAACAAAGTCATCGCAGTATAATCTTTAGAAAATATATCGCAAAATTACATTTACAGGTTGCAAGACTAAAATGCCAGAGAGTCATAAATTTCTATTACGTAACGTCAGTGCTTGCAAATCTAAAAAAAAACTCAAGTATTTTACTTCACATACTAAAATGGAAATTGTTGTCCCAGAGGGCTGTCTACACTTAAACGTGCCTTCAAAATCTGCAGCAAAACTCTTTGGAGATGCATCATTTATTTTTTTCCTTGCTGAAAGTTTTGCATTTATTTATTTCACAGAAGCTCTCTCTCTTTCAATATATATATATATATATATATTTGCAACTTGCAGCATTTTCTTACATTTATTTATTTTTTCATTTTGGTTTTGGCCGAATAAGGGAATTTCGTTCCTTTCATCCGAAATTTACGGGTTTGGAAATCTTTCAGGTTTTCTTTTTTTTTCTATCCGTCGCTTCCTGAATTGTTCAGACGGAAGTGTGCGTGGGATAGGTTATAGCGCATAAAACGTTGGAGAGGTTGTAAATTCGTACGAAGCTGAGGGAATAGGGCATAAATCAAAAGTTTCCGCTACAGCTGTAAACGTATGACTAAGGATAACAATGGTATAGGTAACGGATGTGAAAACGCACATTTAGTTTTATTACGCATTTAAAATTATAATTCAAAATTTGTAGTCCAATGTTGTTAACGACTTGTCATACCGGCTATGAGTATTTTTCTTTAGCACACTGGCTACCACTTTAAATCAAAATGGTGAAAAAGCAAAACGTTCAGGATAAATGACATTTTTAACTTCAAAATGATAAAATATAAGGACAAAAAATATTTTAGGCTTTGAAGAGAAAGGCAAAAGTCATCCTCGTGTTACCCCAAAACTTAGTTAAGTTATACACCTTCAAGAATCATTTGGGATCTCACAAGAGAATCATAAGTAAAGTGAAATTAAAAGCTTTTATCCTGAAAGGATTTGTTTCATAGTCTGGTTGCTTTGTGAAAGTATGCATTTTAGAGTACACATATCAGCGCTTGGATTTAAATTCGCATTATTTCTAGGTATTATAATCTCATGGGGATGTAAATTAAATAGTAATCAGTTTTACCGTAAGATTTATAGCGTGGTGTTTCAAGTAATTTAAACTTTTTGTCGTTAGACAGTATCGTTAGAAAAATATTTATCTAATTGTTCCAATGTAAGTATTGAAATTTTTTATTTATGTTTCAAATTTTTTAATTTAAAATTAAATTTTGTTAACAATTCAGAATCATAAGTTTCATTTTCTATTGAAAAAAAGAGCTTTCGAATTACATACACTTAATAAAACGATTTATTTATCTTTAAACTAGTATATTGTATTATTTTTGTACAGCGAAAATAGATGATTTAGTTTCTGTGTTTAAAAATGTATGAAATGAAACTGAAATCAACTTAATTTTCCAACAAATATGGTTCTAAATGTCTTCTCATGCAGTTGTCAGTTTTATCATTAATAGGAACAATCAGGTAACATTCTATATTAGAAAATACTATTGGTGTCGTTAACCTCGTGAAAATTCTATAGTCTAGGCTGACTTTAATCAAGAAAATACCAGCCAGTATCCTTCACATAAGCCGCCTCCGAAAGTATCCCATTTTCAGATAGATAGCCTTCAAGATACTTTGTTATAAGTTATTAAACGGACATCCTTTCTGTGAATGATGATTTTCCCGACATTATATACCAACTGAAGTCTAATTTTTGCAATATGAATGTATTTAAATTACAGAAGAATTAATTCTAGAAGTCTAATTTTTTTAACATATTTATTTATCCGTGAACGGCAAGTATAAGTTAGTGCTTTTTGCAAATGACAGAAAGAGAGGAATCACTTAATGACTTTTAAAATAAATTAAAATTTATTTGAATAAATTTTACTTGAATTAAATATATTAACAAAAATCAATTATACTCTCATACCATCCCATCAATTTCAAACGAAGTAAACTAAACTTCATTAATAAAGACTTCATGCCAGATGTGTCCAGTAAAACCCTAATATAGATTGTTTAAATTCATATCTCATTACGAATTAATTTATTATTCGGACTTGTTAGACGCTTTGAGAGACCTATCTGTTCACAGAATCTACAGACTATTTAATTCAGAAATGATCATTAAATTAGCAATTGAAATTCAAATACGATAAGGACAGTTAATCTATTCACTCATTTAGGTAACAATTCGAATAAATTTAAAGTGTATGTTCTTAATGTACGTAGAAGTTTTATTCTTTTTAATTTTAAAAGGGGGAATTAAACATGCAACAAGTAACCAAGTTTACATATCTCTCGTTAAAATCGTCATAAATAGGGACGCTCTTAAATTTTACTGTATTTATAACTTATTAATTTTTCAAAATATATTAACTTTGCTTACGGAAACATGGCTTGAAAATCTTCTTTATAGCTTAGTCAATCAATTTCGTTCCACTAATATAGTACTTGTTTGGTATGCAGAAATGCAGCAGTTATTAAATAACTGCTGCATTCTTAGCGAAATGATTGCCAAATATTCGAAACAAGGTACTCATTACTATACTTCAGTGCGTTTAACGGTAGGGGATAGTTATTTCAAAGTTATTCATTTATAAGATCTATGCATTTCTAAATCATTAATGTTAGTAACATTAGTCTTTCATATTTCTAGTATATAAGCATTATATGGAATTTTTTTTGCTAACTTATATAAGCATTATATGGAATGTTTTAACTAACTGCAATAACTGTAGCGACGTAGAATGGCGCTTATAGGAATATGACACATCTGTTGATTTTTGGTTTAACAACTTTGGTTAACTAACGCATTTATTGCTGATTTCTCAGATTTTTAGCATGGAAGCATGTATATTTTTAATTTTTTATATATAATTATTTACGTATAATCTTTCTCTATAGTTTTCAAATAATGTAGCATATAATTTTATACGTTAGCCCTTATAAATGTTTTTTTAAATTTTCATAAATCTAAACATGAAGTTACTGTAGTTTCATTTTGATGTCCTTTCACTAATATGACCACAGCAAAACGTTAAGACCCTATTCTCATTCAAATACACCAGTTCAATATACTAAGTTTAGTACATCATGTCAGTACTGGAATAACGTACAAGCATAAATTTCTGAATTTTGACCATTTCCCATTCTTTTATATGGATCTATATGAAGTGTTTAATAAAATTATTGTTATCACTTTTTCTACTGTACCTTAGTACAATTATTAATTCTATATCAAATTTCATCTAAAATTTCTCCTCGAAAAGAGAAGAATTCATCTTTTTAGATACAGAAAACACCTATATAAAATATTGTTTACTGAAATCATTTAGGTAAATATTTTCATTACAAATAACGTCACAAAAATTGAGAATCCAGATTATACGATCTACTATTGCACAACCTTCGAATATCGAATATCACACATTTTGTTTCATCCGACATATGGCAAAAATTGAATTCAAAGAAGAAATTACTACAACTATAAATATCACAATTAAAAGCGATAATCCGGAAGAGGGATTACTGTGTTAATCAAATGATTTTGTGAAGCAACTTGTTGAAATTTACAGGTTATACATCATGACTTCCTTTAATATCTTTATAGTATATGTATTTCCTGTTGTAAATTTGTACACATTGCACTGAATAACATATTGGATGTACCTTTATTTTAAATGAAATAACTTAAGTATTTTAATCAGAAAACAGTGAATCTATGAACTGATTTTTAAACTGCAATAAATATTGTTTCTTCTTTTATCATACTAAAAAAGTATGTTTTCCAGTAGGTCAACTTTAATAAACAGTTTTTATAATTATGTTGGATAATTCGACCCTCATTTGATTTTTTTCTTGTCAGATAATCGTGATACTACCATATTTAGAATTTTAAATAAGATATTTTCCTCTTAAAGAAATAATAATTTCGAAAGAATTACTTTACAATGAATTATGTGACTGAAGGCATAACTTTTTAGGTGAAATCGAATCAGTTTCTGTGTGTTCTTTTGTTAAATGTACTAAGCCTAACTAAATGGTTACAGGATACGGGACTCACCATTCACTTTGAGCGCAATGTTTTTGCTGATGCCTGGTCCAATTCCATTTTCAACATGACATGCATACAATCCTGCATCCGTCTCTTGTGCTTTGCTGATTAATAAGGACCCATTGGCAGACACAACCCATCGAGGGCTAGAGTAAAGAAATGTTGATCCCTCTTCACTGCTACTCACTCCAGGAGTAGCTCCTCCGCCATTCTCGCCTGAAAGAGAAAAATTAGCTGCATTTAAATTTACAGAAAAATATAAACTTTTGAAAACGCTGTAAATTAATTCAAGTATCATCGATATCATTTTGTATTATGCTTTTTTAAGTTATTAAATGTTTTATGATTAAGTTTTAATCTTAAAGGACTATCTTTAGCTTCTAATAACGTTTAGTAAACATTCTTTTCTAAAGGAAATTTCCGCTGAAAATACTCATTCTTGCAGCAAAAAGAGCATAATAAACTTTTCAGGATAAAATACCATATGTTGAATTAAAAACAAACTGTATGAAACTATTAAACAAAAACTTAACTTAAAGAGTAACAGTAACTCATGAATCTATGTAAGGATATAATCTCGCTAAAAATATTCTACTGCCTTAAAAATATTCTGCTATAAGATACCGATAAATTAGCAACAAAGTGTTCTTTTTTCTTCTGTTCCTACCTAATCGATATCTTTTCAATAATGTAGTTATTTAGTTTTAGAAAATATAAACTTTAAGGCAGTTATTTAAAATTTTATCCCGTAAATCGCTATTGTTCGATATATATACATCGAACCTTTATATATATCGAACGAGATATATTATATATTTTGGAACCATATATATATATATGTGTGTGTGTGCATACCACCTTCACGGTACATATGACAATCTAACGTGTCCAGGCAAACGACAGCCTACAAACTTATAAGAAAAAGACCAAAAAGACCAAAAATTCCTAATCTAAATTTGAAAGATATACATAGTCATTTAGAAAGAAGTTAGTTACAAACGCATGACAAAATTTTGTATATCTGAGAGCGAGATTTCGCTTCTTCCTGCAAAATAACACAACATATTTCAAATAATAATAAGCTGGAATGTTTTAGCCGAATTAAGCTTTAACATATTTAGCAGCGATTTACAGATTAAACCTCTGAAGTCTTCGAATCAAATTGAAATCAAATTTATTTATATACGAATTTAAACTTAAAATTTATTAAACAGAAAGAGACCTTGTTAATTACGACATTTATGTAATTAAAATTCGTTACAATTACAAACACATAGTTTGAGAATAGAATGGTAAAATATGCCGTAATGTTAACTAGAAACAAAAACAATTTATGTTTGTTAGAGATATTCCTCTTTTAAATTTTGTATTTCTTCTAGTGAACGTGCACGAAATTTTGAGAATATGTGATAGGCTTAAGTAAGACCAAAATGTTTATGTATAATAATGCAAACTTTAAAATCCTTTAAATTTAGGAAATATTTCTCATTTATTTAGACTTAACTAAGAACGCAATGTTTTACCTTAAAACTCTTGAAAACTTCCTATTTAGCAGATTAAAATTATATCAGATTTATTTTGACCTTTTTATTATTAAGTATTCGAAATCATTACGCAAATTAATATTCGAGTTACACAAGGGGAATGAAAAAAAGAGGATTTTTTCACTTCTTGAATGCCTTGGAATAAAGAATACTTGGGCCAATGCAAAGAATTATAATTCGAACAAGTAGAACGAATTTTCGTTGCATTGTTCGAAAGAAATAGTAAATGAACATGCTAAAAAATAACTTTTGATATAACTTAAAAGATTTCAAACTCAACGGGTAGAAATCTAATCCGGATTGATTCTTTGTATAAAGGAAGGCTAGCTTATTAATATAGCATTTTGATTTCATTTCGAGTAATGGAACAAGCTATGGTAAATATTTTAAAATTGTTTTGACACTCTTTATAATTTCAAGACCCGATTTCTTTTATTCTTACTCGGGCAATACGTTTCAGCTCTCGCTTGGCTAAATTTCATGCAAAAACAATTTCTCATTTTATATGAAGATTCCACGTATTATTTATGGTTACTTCAATAGTAGGTTATAATTTTAGGTACCACGTGTACATAATAAAATGTCCAATGAAAATTTTGTATGAGATCTACAGCTCAATTAACAACAACTGTCTCTAGGTACTGAATTGTTTTAATACCCCATATTTGAGCTAATTCTCCTAGGTTTCGTGAATAATTCATAGGAATACGAATAGGACTAGGAATTGCTACAGAACAATCTGTAACAGATAATAATTTACGGTAAAATCAAATTAATCTTTCAAAAACAATTTGAAAAGCTGCCGAAAAAGGCAAATAATCATAAGAAATGAGGGAAACTATCTAACATATTTCATAGAATAATTTCGTTTTCAGGTGAAGTTGTGAATATCAGTTTTGCATTACGTTCTCAATCCATTGTTAATATAATTCTTCAGGTACAAAATTTAAGCGGACGAATATATAACACTTTTTTAAGAAGTAATTTCATTTAAACTGCCTTTCTTTTCATTATAAACATATTGTTCTTTGTACAAAAATTAGACAAATAATCGCGATTAATTAACATTAGATCTGTGTAAAGTTTACATGATGAGCGAAAATGATTTTGGATCTCACTACTAGCGTGAAATCCTAGAAGATATAAAGCAACACATTTGGATTAAGTTGACAAAATAATTCAATTAATCACACATTTAATTAGCAAACAGGATTATTGATTAAACCGTAAATGGCAGTTTCAAGAGGAGAAAAAAGCAGACTATCATGCTTATTAATCAACTGCGTTTATTAAAATCGATACTTTTGATTCAGTTTGACATATTTGATACTAAGTACTTCATTAAAATGCCTTTAAAATAAACTACATGCACATAAATCAAAACAAGAGAAAAGTAACCGAAAAATTTAATAAGAACAGCTAATTAAAAATGACTTATTCTTGAAATAATAAATATCATTCCCAGAACAAGACTTTAGTTATTCCACCGCATTTAATTAACCTAGGAAAAAGCATTATCATCTACCGAAGTACCGAAATAAGATGAACAGAGCTTTTAAATTATTTATGAAAACTGATGACCGTGAGCGCTGGAACAGACGACTAAAGAATTTTATTTAAAAATTTGATAACTGAACTGAAATTTTTCTAAAGCGGTTTGCGGCGATGTCATAAATAATCCCTTATCAGTTAGTAATTTTGTTTAGGTGAATATTTTAATTCTTATGAAAAATGTCCGGAAGTTAGTATTTTATCTAAGCTACTGCGTTCAAAGCTTTAAAGTTTTGTGTTGCATATTTTATCTTCTTAACTCGTTTTATATCTTGTTAAACTTACCGGCTACAGGAAAGCTGAGTTAGGCTTCTGGCGAATTATGCAAAAAGAAAAGAATTGAGGCGGTTGCCAGAGAAAAGCACATATAATATATACCGCAAGGAAGAATATTTTGCCCTCATATGTACTTATTTATACGGTTCCAAGTTTATGTATGTATACAGTCAAAGCAGAAATTTTTAAACTTCGCAGTGTTGCAAAATGTCCTAGGAAAACCATCTCATATATAAAAAAATAACAGCATTGCCAGGTACGTAATATAACACAACACTGAAAAAAGTGTCTATTATTTACAGTAATATATTTTTAAAGCATGTTAAATTAATAATTTAGCATCAATTAAATACATTTTTAAAATTAAAATAAATATTAATACCACTAAAATGAATTCATTGTTTATAAATGGCGCACTTTAGAAAGGCGATTTAAAATTTTAGGCAATTACAGGTTCATTAAATTCCAAAAGATAAATTAAAGATCTTACATTTTGCTGCATGGAAACATTCTGAGAAATGGGAATGTGAGGAGCTTATGCAAGATAAACACGTTAAATTCTGTATAACAGTAGCATTAGTTATAGTGAGTGAATGACATGGTCACGATAGTTAAACGTAATGCACTGGGACAAATTTGGGGAAAATTCTGATAAGGATGTCTGTAACGCAAAATACGAAAGACTGCATTAAGAATATTTCTAACATCAAAATTAAACTAATAATCCCCAGTACACATCAAGACTGTAGGACATCAAAGACTTTTAGGACGATGGGTATCTTGGATCAACCCCTTATGTCAGGGATGTCAAACTCATAGGTACACTTGGGCCAAACAAACAAGGTTTAACTTTAGGCGGGCCGAAAAAAAAATCGATATTCATAGAAACGTACATTTATTTCGAATAATACAATAATAAACATATATATATATATATATTTATATAGAAAAGAACAAGAAAAATTTAATGTTTACGTCCTGATACTTGACATCTCTTCTCTGCTATTATCTTTCCTATTTCGGGAGAATTTTGTTTGCAGTGATAACTTTCAACGCTGACCCAAGGTGAGCATCATTAATACGGTTTCTAATAGGAGACTTATTACCTTTCATGACTGAAAATAACTGCTCGCACCGATAAGTGCTAGCAAACATGGAAATAATTTCATATGCGAATTTTCGAGTATTTTCAAACCTGGCTGGTAAATATTTGTAAAATTCAGGCACGCCCACTACAATGAATTTTCCTTTCAAATTTGAGTTGCATTGAATCTCGATCACCTCCATTTGCATATGGCTGGGTACTGAGTCAATACTTATTGAGAAAATCGAAGAAAACAAAAACAAATTTGTCTTCGAGGGAACTAAAATCATTAAACCTCTTTAAATTCGTTGTTAAATTTGCAATTTTTTCTGCGTGTTTTGGATACGAACAGTATCATCTAAAACTTGAATTGTTCATGCTGCACGTCGGGAAGTGCGTCAAATCTTCATTTTTAAGTTCTTTTTCCCGAAGAACTAGTTGACATTTGAATGCTTTAATTTATGTCAAACATGTTCGTAATGATATGATCTTCTCCTTGTAACGATAAATTTAAATCGGTTAAGTGTTTTGTTATATCAACCAAGAAAGATAAATCTTGTATCCGAATTGGATCGTAAAACAAACTTACGTCTTGATTTTTCGTTTTTAAAAACTGGTATATTTCTTCTTTCAAATCCTGGAATTGTGTGAGAATCTTGGAGCAAGATAACCAACATACATCGGTATAGTAGGACAAACCCGAATATTCACTCACTCACTTAAGAAAGAAGTGGAATTGACGCTGATTTAAACCTCGAGAT